AGCCGAGATGGAATAGGTATGCTGGCACATGCCTGTAATCCCAGCACTTGGGAGGCTGAGGCAGGAGGAATGCCATGAGTTCAAGGCCAGCCTGGGCTGCATGGAGAGACCCTGTCTCAAAAACAAAAACAAAAGAACAACAACAACAAAAAAAACAACCTGCATTCATAGGCTCAGTTTCCACATTTAGAACGAAAAGGTACCTTTAGAGGCTGAGGTAGGGTGATTGCAGTTTGGCCCCATCTGGGCAGTTTAACAAACCCTGGTCTCAGGTGTTGAAGATGTAGCTTCAGTCCTGAATCTTCCTGGGTTCAATACCAAAAATCAGCTAGATTAAAAAAAAAAAAAAATCAGATAGTTGGATATGGGTAACTATCAGTTCTTTTTCCAGAGCAAGCAGTATACATATTTATAAATATTAATACTGATTTAAAATATTAATACTAACGGTGTCACTGCACTGGTTCTGACACCAGAACTGCCCTCTAAAGTCCATGAACTTCAGCCACGTTGGCTTTCTCCTCCATTAGGCTGCTACCTGTTCCCGGTGGATGTGCACTCCGCCACCTCCCTCACGTGGATCTCTGCTGTGGTCCTGGAAGAAGGCCCCCGGCTTCTGCCTCAACATCTATGCAGCAGCAACTCTTCCTGTGGCCACTGGGGGTCCCTGCTGTCTTCATCAGCCTCCAAGACCTCCACAATGGAGGGTAGATGGGGCTTTTGAGAGACCACCTGGGCCAGGACAGCTGGGAGCTGACCCAGCTGCAGGATTAGCCTGTCAGGAGCCCAGCTGGGGAAGTACAGTACTAACCTGCACGTCTTGGGGACCCTTAGCCCTGTGTCCCTGTCTTTCCAGAGAGTGCTAGTCAACCTGGGACTTCCTGGCTGCCAGGAGCCAGGCCAAGGTCCATCCTGGCTGCTTCCTGGCATGAGGGCCATGGTGGTGGCTCAGAGTGTGAGCACCGTGCCCAGCCAGCGCACCATGCCAACTGCTCCTTTAACCTTTGCCGCTTAATCACCATGAGGAGAGGGTTTGATGTGATAGATTATGGGCCTTCCAAGGGTAGGGAGACGCCTAAAGGTAGAAGAGGACCTTTGTGTTTGTTTACTCCCTAAAGCTCGGTAGAAGACCGGCAAGAGCACTGGGATAGAGCACTGAGTGGAAAGCAGTGACAGCAGACTTGAGACTCCAACCCTGTGCTTACTGGTTTCCTGAGCTGACTTGCATAGTTGTGTCTTATTTAATAAACGTGTGTGTAGTGTTTGCTAAAGTACTTACATAAAAGACTTTAATACTCAGACAACTACAGACCATATTTTCCAATGCATAAGCTGGGCGACAACAACTAAAATGATTTGCTAGTCACTCAACAAGGCAATATTTGCTTCTCTGAAATAAAATTTACTATGTTACATGAAATCCGGGATTCAGGCCGGGCATATAGCTCGGTGGCACAAGCTCCTACCTGGCAAGCACAAGGTCCTGAGTTCGATTGCTGGTACAAAAAAAAAAAAAAAATCCGGGATTTTCCTGGTTAGGTTAAAAACCAAAGGCAGCTGCTCAAAAGGACAGAACAACTGGGAAGGGGGAAAAGGAGAAAATTCCAGGGGAATTATATATTATATATATTATATATATAAGATAGCTACGGTAATTGTACTACTAATTTCTATTTATTGAAAGGAACAGCCGGGCATGGTGGCGCACGCCTGTAATCCCAGCACTTGGGAGGCTGAGGCAGGAGGATCGTTGCGAGTTTGAGACCAGCCTGGGCTATAACGTGAGCTCAAGGCCAACCCGAACTGCAGAGCGAGACCCTGGCTCAAAAAAGACAAAAAAAAAAAAAAGAAAAAGAAAAAGAAAAAGAAAGGAACAGTTAGTGTTTATATTGTTTGATCAATCTTACATGCCTATATCTGGTAACCTGAGCAACTACTTTGAAGATAACAATACACAATATAATGACCATTGTTAATTTCCTATCATCTTGTTTTGAAATTCTGTATCTTTTGTTTGTTTGTTTTACTCTCAAGAAAAAAACAAAGGCAAGGGTGGTGGTGTAAATCTGTAATCCCCTCTACTCAGGAGGCTGAGGGAGGAAGACTGCAAGTTCGAGGCCAGTCTGTGCAATGCAGACCTGTTCAAAAACAAAATGGAGCTGCGGATGGCGCTTGCCGGCAAGCGCGAAGTCCTAAATTCTATTCCCTGTACCGAAACAAAATGGGCTGGGGCGGGGGAGGGGGCTCGGGAATGGCGCGCCCCCAGTGTGTGTGTGGAGGGTCACAAAGGCATGGCTACGCCCCGAGAGAAGAGAAATACTGGTAACTGCGCCAGGGTTTTGGCTTTTGTTCCAGAGTGACAGGGGCTGGGAGGAGTCGATGGATGTCTACGAAGTGCTGTGTTGAACACGCGTTAAGTTACTGCAGGAAGCCAGAGGCCGGCCCAGCGCGTAGGGTTTAAGACGGGCAGCTGTAGAGTCCACAGCAGCCAGGGGCACAAGTTCCTGCCCGGCAATCCCGCCGCTGATCCGGAGGCTCTGCCTGGGCGCCCTCGCCTGCGACGCCCTCCAGCTGCCGCACCATCGAGACGCAGGCGCGCTGGGGCTTTAGCGGGGCGCGTCTGGACCGCTCCGGTGCAGCCGCTCTACCCCGCACATGGGCAGCGAGACGCCGCTCCGGCCGGAAGCCTGGAGCTCACTGCTGGTGACGCGGCCGTATGGGGACTCTGCAGAAGGCACTGGTCGTGGTCGCAGCGCTGGGCGCGGGGGCGGGCGTAGGGTGGGCGCTCTTTGCCCTGGTGACCCCGGGGGAACTGCAGAAGCAGGCTATGCTGAAGGTAGGCCGCGGGGCTCGGCGGGCGGCGGGCGGCGGGCGGGGCGGAGCGGAGCGGAACCTAGTCCCAGCTGTGCCTGTAGGAGATGCCGGAGCAGCATCCGCAGCACAGGGACGAGAAGGCGCACACCCAGCGGCTCGTGATGGCTACGCTGCAGGAGGCTGCGGCCACGCAGGAGAACGTGGCCTGGAGGAAGGACTGGAGGCGCGGCGGCGGGACCGTGTGAGCGCAGCCACGCCCGGCGGGGGACGAGGGACGCCATCCGGGACTGCGGGCCCGCGGAGCAGCGGCGGGAGAGCCGGACTCAAAAGACCCCTGCCCTGCCCTGGCGCCTGCGCGCTCCCTGCTCCCATGCAACCCCCAAGCCCCATAGGCTGAGCAACCACATTTTCAAAACGTTTTCAAGTGGAGTATGTTGGGCCGGGGATATAGCTCAGAGGCACAAGCGCCTGCCTGGCAAGCGCAAGGTCCTGAGTTCGATTGCTGGTACCAAAAAAAAAGTGGAGTATGTTTTCTCTAGGAAACCATCTGCCTTTCTTGTTCTATAGAAATGTATTGGGGTGGGCATATAGCCCAGTGGAGTAAGTGCCTGCCTGGCAAGTGCAAGGTCGTGAGTGCGATCCCCGGTACCACCAAAAAAAAAAAAAAAAAGTATTGACTACAAGGCCCTCCCCTTCAGCTACACCCGGGATCCCCC